TACAAGGTTTAGGAACATTAAAAAATGTATTATTGTTTTAAACATCCCCAGGCTCTTCAAAATCAGGCTTGGCTGGGGGAACAGGCTAAAAGGAGCAAGATCAGACTGACAGAGCAACTGACTTCTGGGCTGTACTTATATTTATAGACTTTATCTCAGGCTATCCTGCTGCTCTTATCATCACTTGAACAACTCATGACCGCATGTTCACCTGCATGGAGAATTCAGTGACAAGAAAGGACATGGGGCAGAGAGACCATGTTTGAATGTGCCCCAGGAGAAAACAGCACGGCCTGGGATCACTGCTCCCAGTGCAGCAGCTCGGCTGGTGGCACTGGAGAGGCTGTGAGACACAACACAGGCCAGTGTGGACAATGCACCATCCCCAGAACAGAAACAACAAGGTTCCAGAAGCTTTCTCATTCACACGTGTCAGATCCTCAGACAGAAGCTTTATGTGTTTGGAAGATTCATTCAATGCTGAGTAAGGAAAAATAACTGCTGCCTCCTGAACTTCTCCAGCAGTTCCAAAGCTGCTGCATTTTGGTGCTCAGTACCTGTAAATAGTGCTGACTGCTCACCAGAGTTTTTTTTCTATGAACCAACAGCTCTCCAAACCTCTGTGTTCCTGCCAGGCAGTGCCATGCAGCTCCCACAGCAGCACCTGCCCCTCTGTCCCTGGAGAATGGTCCAACCTGGCACTGCAGGCTCTCCCTGCAGCCCAGATCCATGGCTGGGCAGCCAGGGATCAGTGCCAGTGCCACGCTGTGTGGGCAGGAGGATGCAGCATGGCCAGGATGTGCCACAGGTGTCTGGCTGCCTGCTGCAGCAGAACAGAGCAGGCACAGCACTGACACTCCACTGAGCCAGGCTGGCACCCAGCACGACAGAAAAGCCTGGGATGCCACATCTGTAGTTATCAGTGTGCCACCAACGGCATTAGGAATAAAATATTCCAACAATACCTCAAGTAAAAAGCCAGAAAAGCTGAGTCCTCATACAGTGACTCAAGAGGAAACTCTTAGGTCAGCAGTAGTGCTGCTGTGAGCCGTGGGCTGTGAGACACACAGAACATGGATAACACCCACATCCTCCCAGGGAAGGAGCCAGAAAAGGCAGTAGAAGATGGATGAAAAGCTCCCTGCATGCCTCATGTGCAGCACTAGAAAAAATATCCTTAAACACATGAAAATGATTTTGCCTCTTGTCCTGGCCCCTTGTGCTGCTGTAGGCAGGCGAGTCCTGGGGAAGAATATCTGGGCTGGAAAAAGCCATCACAAAATATTGCACGTTGGTTTGTCTAAGCTGGGCCAAGGCTGGCCCAGAGTCCTCCCACCAGCCTCCGAGCTGGCAGGGACAGGGCTGGCTTGGTGCTGTTGCCAGCCACCCCTGCCCTGGGCTTCCTAAAACAAACCCAGGCTGGGGCACACCTGGGCATGGATGGAGCAGCTGTAACCAGCAGGAGCCACGGGGGAGGCTGGGGAGCTCAGGACCTCAGCAGGGAGGGAGTGAGGGACAAGAAGCCAGGCCTGGGGACATCGTGGCACAGCCAAACCTTCCTGTGCCCAGCCTGGCGCCTCAGCCCCGGCAAAGCAAACCCAACAGAGACAACCTGCCCGGCCAGAGCTGCTCCAGCAAACACATCCCTGAGCCCCAGAACACAGGGTGGGATCTGCCTCGCAGCTGGAACTGGTAGATCCTGTGCCGGCCCCTCGTCTCTCCTGCCTGCACTGAGGATACGGCTCTGGCGCTGGGGGTGAGCTGGCTTTTGGGAGGGTTTTTGTTCTTTCTTCTGCTATTGTGTTTTAGTGTCTGGTTAAAGCGTGTCTGGTTTAGATTTGCATCAACTGGGGCCCTAGTCCTGTGCTCAGAGCTCAGAGCCCAGGAGCTGCTCCATCGGCAGCTGTTGGCTGCAGAGACGCCCTGTGCCCAGCTGAGCTGAGGATGCCTGCAGGGTGCAGATGCTCCCAGAGAGAGCTGGGCTCTGGCTGTGGGTGTGATGTCTTTTGAGACAGAGCTGGGAAGTTAGAAGACAATTTTACAAGTTACCAGCAGTAACTGGTGCCCTTACTGGCTGAAATCCACAGCCAGGATGGGGAAGACCAGCAAGGAGCCAACAAGAGATCACATTATTGCTGGAGGAGAGTGATGTTTTCCAGCTGGTCATTTCCCCCTGCTCCTCACTGTCTCATGGCTGAGCTGTCTTTGTGGGACATTGTCATTGCAGCTGTGCCTCCCGGCAAAGCTGATGCTTGCCTGGAGACCTGCAGCCTCTCCTGGTGTGGGACAGACTCCTTCTTCTTCCCTGTTTTCTAGAGGAGCTTTAGGGTTGTTTGGACACAGTCCCCAGGATCTGGCTGTAACATACTGCAGGAACAAATTCCATTGTCCCCACAGCCTTCCCATGAACCAGGACATGGGGTTCTGGGGAACTGGGCAGACAGGCCACTCTGGGTGGCTTCAATCCCTTTAAAATAATCTGTTACAATGCTTCAATCCCATTAAAATAACCTGTTCCAATGCCACGCTGCTTCCCACACTCCACAGCATTAAACCACCAGGCACCACATCCAACAACAGCAGAGAAACCTGTCCAGAACAGGTCTGCCATGCTGGGGGACACAAGAGTTCCCTGAGGGGACACTCAGTTCCCACACACAGCACTGCAGGACCTGCAGGGATGATGATGATGATGATGATGATGGTGGTGGACCTTTCCTGGGTGTCCAAGGAACCCCATTCCTGGGGAGAAGCTCACACTGTCCCTACACATTCTTTTGTCACGTTATCCTTCAGGATGAAGTGCTCACAGTGCCTGGGGAGGCTGGGAACTGCCAGCACAGTCCCAGGCACTCTGCAGAGCTCCACGCTGGACAGAAATCAAGTGCAAAACCACATACACAACATTTGCATGAGAACTCGCAGCTCTTTGAGCTTCAAAGGACAATTTTCATCATCACAGCACTCACAGGTACTAATGAGAAAAGCCTTCATCTGACATTTCTCCAACTCCATTTGATATTTAATTGGGAGAGAAGATCAAAGACCAGGGGAAATAGGTGGTTTTGCATTATCATACACACAGCTGAGCACAGTAAGCAGGACGAGATTAAAAAAACCCCACACTGAAGCACAGAAAAATTGCTGTAAAGCAGCCATTCTTGCAGCCACAGTGATGCCATGGAGTTCTGACACCCCAGTGACCCAGAGCACATGCCCTGAGCAAAGCTCCTCTGTCACACCAGTGCTGGCCGTGGTGAGCTCTGGGCATGGACAAGCTGCTGCTGGAGCTGAATCCTCAGTGCCCACATCAGGTCCTGATCCTGGCCAGCTCAGGGGATGGCCATGAAGGGACAGACACCTCCCAATCCTTCTCCCTGCCTGACCAGGGACAGGCCACGGTGGTCTCAGCACTGCCAGTACAACGTGTGGGACCAGCACTGTCACTTGGCACTGCCAGTGACTCTCCATACTGCTGGCACAAAAAACAAGGGACACAGCCAACTTTACAGCAAAAATAATTTCAATTTCTGACTCAAAGTATTATCTTCTATTACTGGCTTTCACGCCCAAGACTGTTACAAATGAACAATATTATTCTCTGCTTTAGTCAGTTTATTTCCCCACGTGGCAATACCGAATACTTTGTCCCCTTGTGGTGTCCCAGGTAGTTGTGACTACTCAGCTGCTGGGGGGTGTCAGTTGACAGAGAAAGTACCACACTCAAAGGCTGCACTGGTAGGGCTGTGGCTGCAGGATGACCCTCCCCAGGATATGGTGGGCTGCAGGCCCCTGGAAGAGCTTCACCCTCTATCCTCATGGGATGTCACTCTCCTGATGGGACCACCACCGCTTCTGCATCCCAGCAGCTGAGGGCACAGAGGGACTGTCCCCCCACCCTGTCAGGGGGCACAGAGGGACTGTCAGCCATGGCTGTCCCAGAGGCCAGTGAGTACCCCAGATTCCCACCCACAGCTCCACATGGGTAGGATTCAGAGATATATCTATTTTTTTAAGTTATCTGTTAACTAAACACAGGGAGCTGATGGAAGCCCAGGCAGGACTGGCCCCAGCACCTCCCTGGCAGCCTGCTGGGTCAGCTACAAAAACACCCCACAGGATTTCAGACAAGAAATCCTCATCCCTGGGGCTTCTCAGTGCTGTCTGGGTGTGCTCTGCTTTCTTCTGCTTCTGCCCTTCCTCCCTGGCCAGTCTCCCTGGGCCGGGTCTGCTGACCCAGCGAAATCCCTCACATCCCTGTGCGCTACAAACACTGAAAAGGGAAATGGTTTTGAACAAAGTGATGAAGAAAAGCATTTCCACTAGCAAGCAGGTTTGTTTTAATCCCTCTGATTTCCATTTTGTTGGGGTTTTTCTTTGCCCTGGACTGTGCAGATTTGAGTTTTTGTACCCACGTTAGGTCTCACAGCCCTGTGACGTCGGCAGTTTCAGTCACACCAGCTTTTGTCTCTGCTGCTTCCAGATGGGCACACACGGGCTATTCCAGCCACGGCCTCGATAACAAGGAAGCTCTGAATTATTCTGAACAAAAGAGCAGCAGCTAAACCTATTAACACCCACTGAAACCAACCAGCTGGCAGGAAAACTGTGTGACCAGCGTGGATTGTCTGTGTCCCTCCACTGCCCCCATGGATGCTCTGGTGGCCTGGGCCTGGATTCTGCTGCATGGATAACGGCAGAGAATCATGGAATCATCTGGACTGGAGAAGACCTTTAAGATCATGGAGTCCAGAAAGGCATGGGAGACGACACAGGGAGGGTGTGTATGAAGGTGTATCCACAGCTGTGGGGAGGAAAAACAAATCTAAGCAGTCAGAAGGTCGGTGTCAAACCGGGAGGTGTAGTCCGGGATGAGCCGCCCGAAGCCGCCGCCCGCCCGCCCGGCCCGGCCCGGCCGCTCCGCTCCTCACGGTGCGGGACGCCGCGCTCCGGCCGTTGCCAGTGCGCCTCCTGCCGGCGGGGCGGGGGCGGCGCCGCCCGCACGCGTTGCCATGGACGCCCCGGCGGCGGCGCGTTACGCGGCGGCGCGCGGTGACGACGCCAAAGTGGCCTCCACGTCGCCGGGACGGCCAAGATGGCGGCGGCGGAGGGGAGCGGGGCCGGGGGGAGCCTGGTGAGTGCGGCCCGGGAGAGCGGACGTGGGACTCGGTGGTTTCAGATGACACAACCTGGCCCAGGTGCTCTGGTGATCTGTCAGCACTTCTGAACCGGCGACTCCCGCAAAGTCAACATTGAAACCGACATTTCATTGGGAAAAATGCTCACCGTGATTTAAAGAATGACAGAACACCGACAACAAAGGGAGGGCTTCCAGCAGGGCGCTGCAGGGCCCCTCTCACGCTCGCAGGGCGACGGGATGGCCAAGGATGAACCCGCCCCGCTCCCCCCCGCGCCCGGGAGATGCTCGGGGGAATAACGGAGCACCATCCCCGAGCGGGGACCGCCGTCCCCAAACGAGCACATCCATGCTGGCAAGGCTCGGCCGGTCCCGCCGCCGGTGTCAACACAGCGGGACGGCGGACCCAGCCCGTCCCGGCGTGGGGACAGCAGCGGGTGGCCGCGGGGGTGGCATTGCAGGGACAGGGACACGCGGGGGTGGCGGCTGCCGCCCGGGGAACGCCAGCCCTCCCCGGAGCGATGCGGGAGCACGGGCCCCAAGCGGCTCCAGCACGGGGATGCGCAGGGAACGGGACACCCCGCGGTGACCGGCCGAGCCCTGCCCGGACCCCCGCCCCGGCCCGCTCACCGCGGATGGCGGCGATGAGCGCGTTGCCGTCCTTGATCACCTCCTTGATGAACTTGTTGGTTCGCTCCAGCTCCTGCTCGTAGCACTTGAGGCGCTCTCGGAAGTCGGGGCTGTCCAGGTAGCAGTCGCTGAACTCCAGCGGCGGGTGCCCCATGGCCGCGCCTCGGCCCGGCTCCGCCGCGCTGCGCCTACGGAGCGCTGCCGCTGCCGCCGCCCCGGGCGCCCCGCGCCCGGGAGAGCGGGGCCGGGGGGAGCCGCGAGCGTCGGGAGGGGAAGCGGGGAAGCCGGACTGCGGGCGGGCCAGGCGCATTCAGGCCTCCCTCTCTCCCTGAGCGCGGCCGGGCAGCCGGTGAGGTGCCGGGAAAGGCGCAGCGGGGTCTGGAGGCCTGGGCGGGCGGCGGCTCGTCCGAAGGGCGGGGATGGGAAAGGGGCCGAGGACGGGCGAGAAGGCGACAGGAAGGGAAGACAGGGACGGGGTCGGCGCGGGGCCGGGGGCTGCCGGCGTCCCTCCGTGCCCCGCCTGGCCAGCGTTTGCCGTAGAACCGGTCGGGCTGTGCCCTGTTTGCCTTCAGCCGCGGGCATCCCAGAGCCTTGCTCGCCCGCAGGCGGGGACGGCTCCAGCCCGGTGAAACCTGGTCCCTGAGCAGCCTCGGTGTGTGTCCGGGCCGGGGGTGTCCGTGCAGCTCCCCGGGGCTGTTAATATTAAATGTTTATGTTAATTAGTTGTAAATGTTAATATTAATTTCAAATGCGGGTACTCGGGGGTGGTGCGGCTGTGCAGCCCTCAGGCATCACCTCTCTTGAAACACGGCTTTTTACTTCTTTTGGTTACTGCTGGAGCAGAGCGCAGAGGGTGGGTTCTGGGGCTGGCAGGGGACAGGCTCACACACACCTGCTCAGCTCTTGAGGCCATCACTGCTCACGTCAGGCAGTGACAGCTGGCCCTGCTGCAGAACCTTTTCTTCATTGTATCCCTGAATTCTGAGCAGCTCTGTCCATCCCCAGCCCATCTGAAGTGCACACGAGCATGTTTGTGTTTGTTCCTAAAGGTTTGTGCCCATTCAGTTCCCAGGTCTGGCAGATGTGTCCATATCCCAGGATATTCCAGTGGAAGGGGAGATCACTGTCCCTGTGGGATCTCACTCTCCTGATGAGGATTACTCCACGCTGGATGAGCCAGTCAAGGACACAATTGTGAGTCTGGGGTAAAACTCATGTTTTCTGGTGTTTTTGCACAGCGCTGCTCAGCCTGTACTTCAGTGGGGATTGTTTTAGAACTCGTCATGTAAAACAAATTCCTGTGGGTCAAAAAGTGTCTGAGTTGTGGCCCAAAGTTTCTCTGTGATCCTGAAATGAAAGTGAGGGCAGAGGCCTCAGTGGGAGCTTGTGAGAAACTCCACTGACTGAAGATATATTTCATTTCTTTTCTTTTCCTAGAGGGGCAAACAAATTGTTGGTTATATACTGTGTTATTAAAAGATAGAATATTGTGGTTGTTAAAGAAAAGGATGTGATGTTGTTAAGGACTGTAGGAAAAGCAGTCATTGTTTGTTGTAGAGGGTGCTACAGAACTTGTTGGGTTGGATCCTCTCCTGATTTGCCATTCATGTTCCTTTACTTCTGTCTCTTTGCTTTAGCTGGGAACTGTAATTTTTGTGAGGGGATAAATGAAAGTGTTTCGTGTTTGTTTCAGATGAGGGACCTGAAGGCCGTTGGGAAGAAGTTTGTCCATGTCATGTATCCCAGGAAGAGCAGTGCCCTCCTCAGGGACTGTACGTGCTGGGGCCTTCCTGACCTGCAGGGGAGAGGCAGAATCCAGGGAAGGGGATTCAGGGGGGCTGATCCTGGGCAGCAGAGCTGACAGCTGGGCTGTCACCAGGGCTCTGTGGCAGGCTGCTGTGGGCCAGGATGGGTGGAACTGGGAGCTGTAGCAGCTGCTGGGTCTTCAGTGAATTTTATTATAGATCATGGGGTAAGATGCTGAATAAGAGAATTGTAAAGCAGTGAGATGTGGAAAATGGCACCTTGGGAGTTGGGCAGTCCCAAGGAAAGCAGAACTGCGATGGTTTTGTGACTTTTGTGATGTGTTTTCCCTCTCTTTGCAGGGGATCTGTGGGGCCCATTGGTGCTGTGTGTCTCCCTGGCTCTGTGAGTATTCCGGGGGAATTTGGGGTTTTGTAGCCCAGTGCATGAGGGAAATGAGACATTAAAAATTACTGATTAATGTGTTAAGATCAATTTCATCTTATCCCTCTCTGTCTTGTGCAAGCACTGCTTGGTTGGGTTCTCTGATAAAATGTGTTTGTGACACTTCAAGCCCATTAGCACCTCCTGTCCCTAAATTTAGGATTTAAGGATGAACCCTTTCTAGTCCCCTGGCCTAGGAATTATTTTACTGAAGGTGTCTCAAGTTGTACTGATTCAGCTGTGGTGCCCTGTAGTTATTCAGGGGTTTCTCTGAGGCTGGTTTGTTCAATCACACACTACTCTGCTACCTTGAGAGGTACCAAAACTTTGGTACTTTAATTTCCATCTCAGCCTGTTGTCCATGGCTTGATTCCTTTCTCGATGCTTTCACAGCCCTGAAAACAGGGCAACAAATGGACTGAGATCACCTCAGTTGAGCCACAACCATTTTCCTTTCCTGTGCAAAACTGAGGATATAATGAAAATATAAAATGGATGGAAAACTATGGGCCTGCAGCATAACTGGGGATCAGTGTTGGGGCTCCTGCTGGCACCTGCTCCAGCCTGGGAAAACTCCATCAGTGCTGATGCCTCAGTGCAGCTATTTCTCCCTGTTCCCCACTCCAGGATGCTTCAGGGTGGCTCTGCAGACAGCAAGGATGACGGAGGGCCCCAGTTTGCCGAGGTCTTTGTCATCATCTGGTTTGGGGCCGTTGTCATCACGCTCAACTCGAAGCTTCTGGGAGGCACCATGTGAGTGCGGGGTTGTTCCGTGGAGGTTCACTCACTCCTGAGCACGGAGTTCTGCCCTGCCTGGCCTCACTGCTGTTTCCCTGGTGCTGTCTCCCTGTGCAGCTCCTTCTTCCAGAGCCTGTGTGTGCTGGGGTACTGCGTGATGCCGCTGACCGTGGCCATGCTGGTGTGCAGGCTGGTGCTGCTGGCGGGCGCGGGCACCGTCAGCTTCATCATCCGCCTCATCGTGGTGGGGGCCATGTTCGCCTGGTCCACCTTGGGTGAGTCCCTCCCTGTGCCTGGGGAGCTTGATCCCTGCGCATTCCCTCAGGCAGAACCAAGGGTGCTCTGGTCTAAGGTGGCCCTGGGCTGCTGAAAGGCTGTAGAAGGAGTTCTTCCAGTCCTTGAGCTGGCAGAGGTTCAGCCTCTGTCTCTGCTCCTGGTGATTTCCATGGTCATAGACAAATTGCCTTGGGCAGCAGGATGATGATTTAGTATTAAACTCAGTGAGACTGTTTGGTGGTTTTATTCTATGGTTATGTTATAAATACTATTAGAAAAATGCTGTTTTTATAGAGATGCATTTGCACGATTTCTCCTGTTTATCTGTAAGTCTGGCTCTCACTGTACAGTGTTAATCAGCATTTATGGCCAGGCTGGTTGGGGCTTGGAGCAGCCTGGGCTGGTGGAAGATGTCCCTGCCTGTGGCAGGGGGTGGAACTGGATATCCCTTCCAAGCCAAAGCATGCTGTGATTCCATGTTTCTATAACTTATTGTTCTGTATGATAGAGGAAGTAGCACTTGGTGATTACAGCCCGTTGGTTTGAGCAGTGGTTTCTTTTACAACACAACTGCAGTGCAGATCCTCGCTGTGAGGGGGCTGTGAGGGTTGTGCTGCTCCTGCTTCACAGGTTTTGTGTCTCTGCAGCATCCACGGCGTTCCTGGCAGACAGCCAGCCCCCCAACCGCAAGGCCCTCGTCGTGTACCCCATCTTCCTCTTCTACTTCGTCATCAGCTGGATGATCCTGACCTTCACCCCCCAGTGAGCACCATCCTGAGGGACTGCTACACTGACTGGACTTTCTCATGGACGCTGCAGTGAATCCTTGGCTTTATCTCTTTCTAATTTATATATAGGGATACTGTAAAAAGGCAGGTTGTGGGATAAAGCCAGAGAGCTGCAAAAAGTGCTCATTTGTGTGTCCCTCTTTGTGAAAGATACTGAAGTCCAGCTGCTGAGGGGTTTATTTAGCCCTGTTCTGTACTGGTGTTAAATAAACAATGCCCACTGGGACAGGGATTGTTCCATCTGAGGAGAGAGTGGGAAATCCTGGAGTTTCAAGCTGCTGGGAGATGAAGTTTTTGCACGACTTGGCAGATTTCCTGCCCGTGCTTGGATTCTCACTGAAGATAAAAATGCCTTATCAAACCATAGAACTTCACTGCAATGATGTGTGGAGAGGAAAGAGACGTGTCTGACTCCTTTTCATTCCCTTGTAGAGTGGTGGGATGTGCACCCAGGGCTTTGTGGGACTGGGGTTTTCCCAGGAAAAGAGAGTTCACTCAAAACTCAGTTGGGTTCCCTTTGCAGGGAATTGGAGCTGGTGACAGGGAGTGGCTTTTGCCCTTATCCATGTGTTGTGTGTGTCCATCCCTTCATGTGGCAGGCAAGAGGGTTCCAGCTTGGTGCTTTCAGTACTGCCTCTGAGGGGACTGTGGGCTCTCTGCAAGTTGCAGACCTGTGACCAGAGGGAACAAAGCTCAGAGTCCTGCAGAAATGCTGAGACTGCTTTGTAGCAAAGACTGGGCTCTCACCCTGCATTTGGAAGTGAAAATTCCTTGGAAAGTACCAAGAATGTGTATGTATGATAAAAACAGGGGGTTCTGTGCAGAAAGTTGAAGATTTGCTGCACAGGCTGTTTGGGTCTGAAAAACCATACCAGGGCTTGGGCCCCAAAGTGTTAAAATAGCTTGAAAGAAGGGAAGTAAATGGTACTAGAGGTGTTGGTGCTCTGAAGCAGGATGTGAATTCTGCTCTCACCTGCCTCTGTGTGACTGTTCCTGTGGTTGTTCATGGGGACAGCAAAGAAATGTGTGCAAATGTGTTCCCTTGTACTTCCCATGAGATGTCAGACACTGTTCTGTGGGGTTTTAATTTTGCTTAATACTTTAATAAAAGGGAGGGGGCTCTACCAGTCACTGCAGATTCATTGTGCCCCTCTCTTGGGTACAGGCGTGCAAGAGTCAGGTGTATTTTGGCACAGACATTGGGAACTGGGACCTGCTTTTGGCAACTACAGAAATGATTCCTGTTGTCTGTTGTTCTCATTCAGCAATCCATGAAATATCTGGGGTGAAAAAGCTGCTGTAAAATGACATTTGTGCAGACAGACTGAAACTGAGGTCTGTGGGATCTGCTGAGGTGTGAATGTACCTAATTTCTAGTTACATGTGCAGGAGCAGTCTATGCTGTAAACACTGGCAGTGGGTGGAAGTTGGGATGGAAATTGCTGAATTTCAGAATAAAAGTGCATTTTTGCATTTTTGGATAACAAGCTGCTGTGTGTGGCAGGGCCTGGCTGTGGCACCAAAGGGCTGGAGGGGAGCTGTGGTGGTTCACAGACATGGGAACCATGGAAAGGGGAATTTTTAAGCTTCCATTAAATTATTGCTGGTATGGAGTGTGGTTTTTCTTTTAAGTGTGCAGTTTTTCATTCAATTAAATGTTAGTTCAGCTTTTTGAAGCTGAAAAGAAGTATTCAGGGGAAATGGATGGTAATGCTGTTGATGGCTATGTTGGGATTCCTTGAGCCAAATCTTTCTGTCCTACAAGAATTTAACCACACTTTCAAAAGAAATCCTTGGATTCTCTCTGGGTCTTGTGACTTGAGCTGGTGTTCTATCTCAAGGATAACTGGAGTAGCATTTAATTGATCCAGTAATATTTTGAAATTTTTTACATGACTTCAGAAAGTCAAAAGGCCCAAACTGGGGTTTGTTCCTCAGCCACCCTGGAGGTCCTGCAGAGTCCCTGCTGTGACAGAACCACATGGGCACATTAAACACAGCCAAACCATTTTGTTTCAGGGAAACAAAATGCCTCGAGCGTGTTTGATATTTGCAGATGCTGGAATTAATGCAGCTGATTGATTAATGCAGCACTTTAAAGTGCTGGTGTCACCTTTGAGTGCTGAGTGCTCCCTGAATGTCCCTCATCCTGTCCAGCCAGGTGGGCAGCACATCCCTCCCAAGGGCCCTGCAGGGGAGTGATCCCTGTCACCACAAGAGAGGTTTAATTTGTGCTGGAAATGTCTGTGGTAAGAACTGTTGTGCTTTCCAAGGGGAAAGGCTTTTCCTTCTTGTTTAAAGCTGCTGGGGATGGGCGACAAGGAGAAGCAGCTGTGTTGCCTATAATGGAGTGTTTGAACTGCTCTGCACAGAAATGGCTGATTTCCAATGCACAAACCAGGCTTTCTTTCATACTAGGATTTTTTTAATACTGTTTATCAGCAGAAGTTGTTATATATGTTTAATTTTGATCTATTTAATACCAATAAAAATGAAAATAATTTATTTGCTTTAACTTGAAAAATTCGAACAGGCTGAAAGTCACGTGGGCAGTGTGAGGTGTGGATGGAAGCTCTGTGCTCTCTGTACCTGTGGCACCTGCAGTACCAGGAGCTCCCCTGGCCTGGCTGGGGCAGGAGGGGGACAGTCCCTACCCTGGTGTCCCCTGGCCCCACACGGAGAGCAGGACACACGGGACACACGGGCCACACGTGCCAGAGCCCCTGAGGCTGAGCCACGACATTGCCCTGCCCAGGCTGGGATGCTGCTGGTGCTCACACACTGCTCAGGGAAGCAGCGTGGTGCTGGTGTACCCCAAAATCAGGGTTCCAGTGGCTTCAGGGCCGGGAGCCACCCAGGGGACCTGCGTGTGCCTCAGTGGTGCTGGCCAGGGACCACCAGCTATTGCATTTGGGGGCTTCCCAGACGAAGGAAGGAATGATGAATCTGACTCCATGTTCTCAGAAGGCTAATTTATTATTTTATGATACTGTATTATATTAAAGAATACTATACTACACTATACTAAAGAATACAGAAAGGATACTTACAGAAGGCTAAAAAGATACTAATCTCGTGACTCATGACTCCTTCCAGAGCCTCGACACAGCTTGAGCCTGATTGGCCATTCAGTCAAAACAACTCACATGAAACAACCACCTGTTGGTAAACAATGTCCAAACACAGTCCAAAGCAGCAAAACACAGGAGAAGCAAATCAGATAATTATTTTCCTTTTTCTCTGAGGCTTCTCAGCTTCCCAGGAGAAGAATCCTGGGCAAAGGGATTTTTTCAGAAAATATGACTGTGACCACCGGGGGCTGAACGAGCCGGGGGTGATGGGGGAGCAGAAACCTGCTAGGAGGGGCCCTGATGGGTCATGGATATTAAGGCACATCCCTGACTGGCTAATGAACCAATGGCAATTAAACCCATCCCTGAGCCACGCCAGGATTTGAGGCAGTGGCCAGGGGTTCGTCCATGTTCTCGCTGACAGTGAGGACACCCATGACACGACCCTGGCCAGGGAGCCTTGGCGCGGAGCTGGTGGCAGCAGGGACACCCTGCCCTGTGCCGAGCGTGGGCTGCGGGGCTGGGGACAGCCACCGTGGGCAGTGGTCACCAGAGGGCGGCAGGACCGCGCTGTCCCTGGCAGCCTTCTGCAGCTTGCTTGTCACCCCCGCGTAGTTTCCGTGGCTCCCGGGAGCTCCGGGGAGCACAGCCGGGGTGCTCGGTCCCGCAGGCAGCCCCGGGAGCTGAGCTCTGAGCTGCCGGCCCCAGCCACCAGCTCGGTGGTGCCGCACCTGGCCCTGCTGCGGGGTTTCTGCCTGCTCAGTGATGGGCAAGAAGACGCTTTCATTCAACAAGGGGTGTTGTTTTGTTTTGGTTTTTTGTTTGTTTGTTTGGTTGGGTTTTTTTCAAGACAATTTACCAGTCCTGGAAATGTACCTGTTCCGCTCAAAAGAGGTGTTCCCAAGTGCAGCTCTGGGCTTTGTAGTTACATTTTGTTTGGATAACGCTCAAATTTAGCATCTTTCTCCCCTAAGTGAATCTTTTAAGGCAAATATTCTGCAGGCTGAATTGTACCCTAGGGCAAATGAATGGGGCAGGTGACAGTGGAAGGATGGATTTGCACAGTAAAATCAGGAAGTAGCACACAGAGTGCAGCTGTTGACAGCTGGGACTGTGAACCTGATTCCCGACCTTTGGCTTTCCTGGCGGGGGAAGCAGGTGACATGGCTGCAGGAGCTGGAAGTCAGGCAGGAGGTTGCTGAATCTCCACACTGCAGGTACTGGATGCAAGGGCAGTGGCAGGTGGGATGGGACAGGCTGTGCCCAGCACGGAGGGTTCCTCCCTCCGTGGAGGAGGTGGTGAGCGTCACCGAGGGCAGGTGTGACAGCCCAGCACGGGGCAGCTGCTGGGACAGACACAAGGGTCACTGCATTGCTTTGCTGTCACCTTGTCATGGGGCAGTGCTTGTGCTGGGGGCTCAGGGAATCTGGGAGACAAGAGTGAAGGCTTGCTCTATTTATTCTGAATCCTAGTTGGAATAAAAATCAATAATAAGTGCACTTCCTGATGCAGGAAGGACAGGTTTGGTGTTTCTGCCCTGGTTGTCCTCTCTGAACCTTGTCCCCTCTGCCCACGTTTCAGGGAAGGGAACAGGGCAAGTTTTCTGAGTGCCACAGCTTCCCCATGCCTGGTACTTGTCATATCTGTGCTCTGAGCCCTCTGTGTCTGAGCAGCTGCTGCTCATGCTGCTGATGGAAGCAAGAGAGCATTGTCAGAGCCTTGGGGACTGTGGGCAGGGTCCTCCCACCTGGGAACTCTGTTCTTCCTCATTGTGCCCAGGTGGGAGGAGATGAAGTGATTCTCTGCCTCAGCCAAACTTCCCCTGCCTGTGCAGAGTCTTGGCCCAGCTCCCCCCAGGAGCCTGAAGCACAACTCAGACAGCCTGAAATCCATCCCAGTGAGCCCCTCCAAACCCCCGCTCTTCCCCCAGTGCTTCGTTGCCAGCAAAAGGGCATGATGGGAAGCCCACCCTTCTCCGAAAGTATAGAGGGAGTTTGGTATTTTAAGAGAGAAATGAGGAGTACAAACCCAGCTGGTCGAGTTGTAACTGTGGGTCTGCATGCTCTGGTGAGGAGAGCATGGAGGTTCCCAGAGTGAGTGCCGTAACACCCCTTTCTAATCAAAAGGAATGGAAAGGAAAATGAGGACAAGCAAAATAAATGCAGTCTCCTGTGTGGCTCTTGCTAATGAGTTATGGTTTTGCATTGCCAGGTTTGCCAGTGGCAGCGAGGGTTCCATCCATGGACGATGGAGCCAAGGAGCGCTGAGCACCAAGCAAAGCCACCGCTGTCCCCAGGCCAGCAGCATGAGCCCCCGACCCCACGCTCTCCCTCATCAGCTGAAGATGAGGAAGGTGTCTGTGGCTTCCTCTGTCCGAGGAGCAGCAAGTGCAGTGCTGAGGATGAGCCTGGTTATGAGCTGATCCATGACATATCCTTGCTGTCCCTCTGGGGATCTTTTCCCAGGAGAGCCAGGAGGCACCGATCAAGATTTATCGGCCTCCCGCAGGGACCTGCAGGGCACAGAGGGGATGCTACAGGCCACAATAAAATTTTCAGCAGCAAAGTGTTGGCCTTTGATGAACATTCCCAGACAAAGCCTGGGCACATGCTCAGGCACAACAAAACAGAGCAGGTGGGGCTGCTCAGGGCAAACCTGGGGAGAGCCCACAATGCCCTGGATTGCAAGGAAGATGAGGTTAATGCTTTCTCTGTGTCTCCTGGGGAAGTGAAGACATGTCCTGGACATCTGGTAAGTGTTCCACATGATACCTGTGGGTGCCTGTTCCTGTGCCCCATTCCCTGCTCCCTAGAGGTGCCCAGCTGGTCCTGAGGTTGAGATGCTCTGGCAGACATGGATGCTTTGTCTTCTCTTTTCCGCCTAACTCCTGCTTTAGGCTGGTGATGTGCAGTTCAAATCCAGTGTGTTAAGTTGCCTTTGTATCCTTTAACAGTTAGTCTTACTGCCCTGAAGGGTTTCTACCCAAATAGGAGTTGGATTTCTGTTCATCCTGGTGTGGTGGCCAAGCAGAGCAGGAAGTGTGCCAGGGGTTCAGGGCAGATGTATTCCCCCAAGGCCCTGCAGGGAGGAGAAGCCTCCCTGGCCAGGGGAACTGGCACTAGCTGATTTCCTCTGTGTTTGGTCTGGGCACTGTGGGCTTTTCTCTCAGCTCCTCCTGTGCCTGTGGGCCCAGAGGCTCCTGGCTGGGCTCCCTCCCTGCAGTGTTTGTGCTCCTTGAGCAGCCTGTTTGTCTGTCAGGTCCCAGTGACATCTCTGTACCCCTTTGAGTCCCTGTGCTTATAACAAACTCATGTGAGCATAGTGGCCCTCAAGACATCTGGTTATTTGGGTTGCAGAGAGCTCCAGGCTCCAGAGCCCTGGAGCAGAGCAGCTGTGGGGGCCAGTGGAGCCATTGGAGCAGCCTTGTCCCCATGGCTGTTCTCCTTCCCCATCCCTCTCTCTGCTCTCCTGCTTCCCACAGCTGCTGCTGCTGCAAGGCAGGAGCCTGATAAGCTCATTGACATCTACAGGAGAAAGGCAA